TGTTCTAGGTCAGTGTACCAGCTTTCCTGAGTCAGTCGTTGAAAATAGTTTGCACTGTAGGTTAAGCACGGAGCAGAGTCCCAGTCAATGTTGTGGTTTGTCAGATGACTTCCGCTCAGGTTGTCGAAACGTCGGTCACCAACAACAGTTCTTTTCAGAACTACCCTCACCCGGACGATCACACTATACGAACTACGTATATTGTATTGTTTTTCAAATTTAGGCACCGTTTATGCAAAGGGTCTATTAGTCTTCAGAAACGCATTAGAAGCAATGCTTTATAAGATTTGTAGAGGAAGGCTTAACAGGTCAGCGAAACTAAATCTGTGGAAAAGAGTTTGAAGAACTTCTGAAGAAGGAACAAGAATTGTAAAGAATAGAGAAGCGAACTACTTACAAGGACCAAAAGAAGGAACCGTGTTCTAGAACCGAGCTGCTGGGAGAAATTTGGTCAGCCGCCATAGTGTTCCAGATAGTGCTCTAAAATAGGTGTGGGGCGTGGTTTTGACAATTCCAGAAATCAGGGACAGGTCATTACATTGTATTCTTGGGAAAAACATTTCATTGGTAAAGCCGCTCTCACCACCCCCGGTCACCACTTTTTAGCACTTAGGCTAAAAATAGTCACTGCTAAACTGTTGGGGTAGCCTAGAAGGGAATGGCGGAGAGTTAGCGACCACCAACCGTCTATACAGACACCTGCCATCTTCCCTTGAACGGGAATGATCGCGTGACGAGCCATAAGGGAGTGGACAAAAAATTACTTACCCACGATACGATACGACAACTTTATTTATACACGGTATTTCCATCGGTCTTGCGACAGATTTGAATGCCATCTTTGGCTTACAAGTATTTGTATTCTACAGTCTAATAAGTTGAGGTTTGCCGCGGCACTGATCACCAGGAACTCATAACATTCCGCGCGCGGTAAATTACTTGGAAGTATCTTACCGAAACTTCTCCTAGACTTTCTAAAAGTCCTTTCATATTTACATTGTTAATTTTCAAAACTCCTCTATGACCTCTATTCCAAACACTTGATGTCGACAGTTACCATAGATACATGATTAGGGCGGTCCCTCAGGGAAATACTTACCTCTGTTAACACAAAAATGAGTTTGATTTGCACAAGAATGAACCTTTGGGCGGAACACATTTTCATATGAATGGTTTCGCACGAAGGCTCGTTTTAACTCAGAGACAAAAGACAACTCGGAAGCGGCCCATTTATCTGTACAGTAAATGGAAGGCGAAGGCATTGCAAGAAAAGTCACACTGAACGATGGCAATAAAATGCCAATATTTGGTTTGGGAGTGTACAAAGCCAGCCCGGAAGAGACTGTCAAAGCGGTGAAGTTTGCTTTGCATAGCGGATATCGGTTGATCGATACCGCAGCTTTCTATCGGTAAGTAAGTTGCATCTCCATTTTAAATCCTTCAGTCAGGGCTTCAGCGCCTTTCAGTGCCTTAATTTCAATTAAGGTTGTAAAATATCAGTGACCTTTGACCTCAACATGTGACCTCTTGCTCATTAGAATTGCTTCCGGTTCTTCTTCCTTCGATAAACATTGATAACACCAGTCATTTACCTGTTTAATGGTGACATGTGCTGTGGCAGTAGACCGGTTAGCACAGGCGGGTTTTAAATCTATACAATGCTTCGAGATTTGCACTAAATGCTACGCGTAGAAAAGAAATTTTTAAAATTGGCTCAGTGTAGTTTAAGTCTGTCTCGCGTTGTTTTGATGTCTCTGTGTTCACGTTCTTTTTGCCAGAAATGAAGCTGAAGTTGGACGAGCAATCAAGGAGTCAGGGGTAAAACGTGAAGACGTATTTGTGGTGACCAAGCTTCAGAAAGCAGGCCACGGGTATGATGAATGCTTGGAGGCTTTCAATTCAAGTCTAAACAAGTAAGAAGAAGACTATTGAGAAGACTCGAAGGCTGTTCATGTTGTAGAATTTTCCCTGTGTACTGATGTATGTCTTAGCAATTTCTGGGTTAAAGGCATACAGCTGAATGTGACACAAATTGACATGGCGTATGGCATGTGTGCTGGGGGTATAGGTATGTGTGGGGTATGGTTTTTCAGCCACTTTGGTCATTAATATGGTATCGATTTTGTCATTTCTGGTCATAAATAGGGTATGGTTTTTGCACGCTAGTCTTGAATTGCATCAGGGGTATGATTTTTAGAAGAAGCTAGTTTTTCATCAATAATGATAAGACCATTAATAGAAGCCCTTCATAAATTATGTTCAGGTCAACTGTGCCAGTCGTAACGGTCATGTGATGATCCTTATGACTTCCAGGAACAACAAGAACAGTGGAAACTCAACATAAGATTTTATTGTCGGCCATGTGGACCGCAGGAAAACTACATTGTCTGTTAGCCTGAGCTCTAACTCAGCAGTATTGTGACATAATGTCACGCCTATTGTCACAGGTCATAAATAGGGTGTCAAATGTTTGGTCAGGTCATAAATAGGGTAGGGAAAATCTCAGATTTTTGTCTTAAATAGGGTAAGGGTTTTGGGAAGCGGGCCGCACATTCTTACCAAATTTTTTTGGGAGTACCCCCTGGGGTGGGCATGTGGAGGCATAATTTGTGGTCTTAGGATCTGGAATGAGTGGTCTGAGATCAAGCCCACTTCTCTCATCAGCTGACTAATTTCTAATTTAATATCATTTAATAACATTTTAAAGGTTTTTTCCTGTCAATCCAAAGTTATCTCATTATTTCATCACAGACTTGATGTAAACTATGTTGATTTATACTTAATTCACCATCCTAAACCTGGAAGAAACATTGAATCATACAAAGCCATGATGAAACTCAAGGAACAAGGCCGCATAAAGTATGTAACTCTACAGTGTACGTGTAGTTTTGCATTTGTTGTTTCTTGCTTTTGTTTCGAGGGTTTTTCTCTGGATTCGCTCTGTTAAGTTCCTCCCTCCATGAAAATCAACATTTCCTAATCCCAGTTTGATGTGAGTACACATATAGAGTAGCTGTCTGAAAACAAGCTGAAAATGAATCAGATTTACCTTTCACAGTTCCCTGATCTGAACATAAAATTTCACCTCTGTTAGATCTGACTGCACTTACTATTGATCTTGGCAAACAGTAATTATCATTTGCCTTAGCTGTAACATCATCGAAAAAATTATGAAAACTTTGATAACAGACATCATGGCAGTGACCTGAGTAGTCTGACAGGTAGCTTTTGAAATCATAAATGAATTTGTGTATCAAAAATGTTATTCAATGCTTATTTGTAGCTATTACATGTAAATCCCTTAAACATTTATTTTAAGGTCCATTGGTGTATCCAACTTTGGCGTCAATCACCTAAAAGAGATGGAAAAGGCAGGGCTACCTACTCCAGCTGTCAATCAAATAGAACTGAATCCATATTGGCGCTTGGAAGAAATTGTGAACTACTGTAAAGAGAGAGGAATTGCCTTAATGGGTTACTGTCCAATATTTCAAGGCCAGAAGAATGACGACCCCATTCTAATTGAAATGGCCAGTAGGTAAACCCATAACTCTATGCTTAATCAGAGCTTTTGAGATGTCTGTTCTCCGAGAGCAGATGTCTCAGGCTGGATTATACAATGTAATTATTATTTATATTAGCAGTTACAATGAACCATATGACACATGATTTAGGGTCTTAAACTTAAACTTGTTGAACAGTACAGTTTTGAGGTAGAATTTTGTATTCTTTTATGTGTAGTTAATGTTATATTCTTACTATTACACTGCCATTCTTTTGAATCCTCATATTCTTGTTACAAAAAATCACGCATACACTGTAGGAGGCATGAGCCTGCCAAGAGATGTTTGTAGGAGATTTTGCTTAGTACAGTTCTTGAACTTTCCCTTCCTCGCCCTGTAAATGGGTTGAACCCAGGCCCCTGTATGGAGCAGAGAAGGGAGGGGGAGTTCAGGGACTGGACAACATGTTGCTTATAAGTAACACAAGGATGACATTATGACAATGACAAAGCTAATGAACACTGTTCAATGTACTCACAATTGTCATTTCCTGATCAGTTAGTTTAATTGGAAACTTCGAGTTGACCGGTATATTTTTCACTTAAAACTACCACAATACTAACTACAATTTAACTACTCTAAGTCTTGACTTCTCCAGACACGGCAAGTGTAATGGACTTGGGCAAACTTGTATAGACTTGTGCTGAGGGATCTGGTAAAGGGTAGTACTTTTGGCATGATTATAGGAAACCATGTTTTTCTATGCTGAGGAATATAATCATCAGCACAAAAGTAGCTGAATTTTAGATGGGCCAGTTGTGGAACACAAAATAACTTGGAGATTGATGACTGATAGATTGTTAAATTATCCTTGTCAAAGAAATGATTAAGTAAAATGCCCTTTTCCAAAACCCTTGAATATTTGCAGATACAAGAAAACAGTGCCCCAACTTCTCATTCGTTGGAGTGTACAGAAAAATTACATCACCATTCCCAAGTCTACAAAACCAGAAAGAATTTTAGAAAACACCAATGTTTTTGATTTCACTATAAGCGACAAGGATATGACAACTTTGGTAGGTTTGATTTCACTTACGTGTATGTATTACACAAGGGAGTGTGCATGTTGTGTCTCAAGGATTTTTAGGTGTTATCCAAGATCAATCATACCTCTGGGCATTCAGGCTTTGTGTAGTTCTGTAGTTTTGGAGTGTAGCATTGTGATAGAAGTGGAGTTTTGTGGTGATGAAAGTTATAACTTTCTAAAACTGTGGGTAAATGAGTAGGCTCCATTTCCAGCCGCTCTTTGGGAAATGAGCCTGCATCCCTTCCCCAAACAGATGCGAGAGAGTGCTGGAAATTGAGCATTGTAAATGAGACACATATTAGAAGGATAATTTTTCCACAAGAAGTTGATCAAGGTAATTTAACCACTGTAGTCAGTTAAGGAAAGCTGATGATTCAAGCATTGACCATTGATGATTGCTTGATGATTCAAGCATTGGTTAGAGCAGAAAATGCATTTTTTGTAGTGAATTGTAGTCAATGTACTGAGCTGTCATTAGCTTCTCTCTGTGCTTTGGCTGGTTACTGGTTTNTATAATCATCAGCACAAAAGTAGCTGAATTTTAGATGGGCCAGTTGTGGAACACAAAATAACTTGGAGATCGATGACTGATAGATTGTTAAATTATCCTTGTCAAAGAAATGATTAAGTAAAATGCTCTTCCAAAACCCTTGAATATTTGCAGATACAAGAAAACAGTTCCCCAACTTCTCATTCGTTGGAGTGTACAGAAAAATTACATCACCATTCCCAAATCTACAAAACCGGAAAGAATTTTAGAAAATGCCAATGTTTTTGATTTCACTATAAGTGACACGGAGATGAGAACTTTGGTAGGTTTATTGCACTTACGTGTATGTATTACACAAGGGAGTGTACATGTTGTATCTCAAGGACTTTTACTAAGGTGTTATCCACCATCAATCATACCTCTGGGCATTCAGGCTTCAGAAGTGTAGTTGTGCAGTTTTGGAGTGTAGCATTGTGATAGAAGTGGAGTTTTGTGGTGACGAAAGTTATAACTTTCTAAAACTGTGGGTAAATGAGTAGGCTCCATTTCCAGCTGCTATTTGGGAATGAGCCTGCATCACTTCCCCGAACAGATGTGAGAAAGTGGTGGAAATTGAGCCTTGTACATGAGACACATATTAGAAGGATGATTATTTCACAATAAGTTGATCAAGGTAATTTAACCATTGAAGTCATTTAAGGAAAGCTGATGATTCAGGCATTGACCCCTGGGTTAGAGCAGAAAATGCATTTTTTGTAGTGAATTGTAGTCAATTTACTGAGCTGTTGGCTGGTCACTGATTTCATATTGTATTTCCCAATAATTTATGGAAAAGATACATGCAGACAAAATTAATTCTGCTTTGTGTTGTAAAGATAAAAGAGCATTCAGCAGTAGGAGCATTTACCCAGTAGTTATTTTGGTTGCCTGGAACAACTTGCTGTTTAATTATTTACTGATCATTATTTTTTCATTATTTTCCCACTTACAGAATGCAATGCCAACAGAACAATGCATTAAACAATTGGCGAATATGACAGAATGTCCTTGGAAAGGATAGAAGCTGGTTCACTTGATAATTGAATTCTTGATACTCCAAGTTATTTAACCGTTTTAGTTTCCTTGCTTGTCTGAAAATAACAAGTTCTAAATAAACGAGTATTGTTAACCAGTGAGCTATCAACTGAGCTCATCCCAAGATAATTTAAACTATGTATAAAAATGACAGAATGTTGTCGGCTTGAAAGTTATCTATTTTTTGTACTGATAGGACAGTACAAACATTCTGAGAACCATTCACAAATTTAATATTCGTGTGTGTGAATGAGCTACTTGGAATTCACGATTAACGATTCATGCAAGCTATTCAAGTTTAATTTGAAGCCTGCTTGAAATTTTGCTACACATAAGTACATTACAGTGAATAAGAAGTGGCCATTACAGATACAATTTTGTTCTTTAATGGCAGTGTTTATCTACACTAGTTCATAGCTCTACTTTGCTGTGCACTTTAGCTATGAGCAGGAAGAGTAAAACAGAGCCATGGTCTGTTTTGAAAAGGAAATTCTCCAAATTGGTGTATTGGTTTTTTAAGATTGCTGATAAGAGTTTCCAGCTATTTACATCACTCACACTTTGATGAATCAAAATACGGTGTTGGACCACCCTTTGTCAGATTATGCTATGTGTAGCTACAATAATGGCATCACATGATGCCTTGTAAAGAAGCTAGAATGATCATCCTTTTTATGTAACAGGTTATCATTGCAACAATACAACCTCCTAAAACACCCTACCCTTTAGCGTTAAGAACTTATACTGACAGTGTAACTCAAACCAAGCTCAGTGACCTCCATCAAATGGAGGTCACTGAGCTTGGCTTTGTACTGTGGAATTGTAATCGGCATGATAAAATACAACATGTCATAAAGTATAGAAAAATTCTGTCAAAAATGGCTCAGGGGGTTAAGATGTCTCTGAACACTATCAACAGAACTTTTTGAAACTTGCAAAAAGTTGTTTCTTAACATGCTTATTACAATTTGACAAGAAAAATAGGGTCAGAGAGCTCATTCTTGAGTTATACCCTGTAGGCACTGTATCTGCTGGAAAGTGATGAAAACTGTCACCAGCCACCTTGACTTCAGCTGGAGTGCTCTGATTTTATGTGGTATTCAAAAGAAAGAAATAGTTTAGTTGATTTCATATTGTGATGTTGACCAAGTAAGTGCATATGCTTCTATATTGATTCTTCCTTGTCCCCCATAAGAAGGCAACTGGGATGACCACCATGTACTTTATGCTAGCCTGTCCATGGAGAGTCTGTGACATTCCCCATTAAAGCGCACTGTTCTGTGGGCATGTTATCCTGCAATGTGTAATGAATGAATATTGTATTTAATAATTATTGTTGTTACATGTACTGTGGGAAATAAATAAAGATGTAATGTACATCATAACTATTAACTGTATTATTACAATATTATACATGTATACTAGCCTCCATTTGAGGAACTGATAATGGCCAAGGACGAAATTATATCGACTAATGGAGGCCATTGTGAATACTAATTATCCTTCAAATATTTTTTGCAACATGGGAATGTAATCACTTGCTGAATATTCCCCAGCTTTATATTAGCTGGAGTATATTCAGTTGCTTGGAGCATTTAGACCAATAGCAGTGCTAGTGAAAATATTTGAT